GAGGGGGACAGGTGACCCCGTGGGGTCCCTGGACCAGGCTGGCCCCTCACAGGGTGTGGACACTGAGGCCCAGAAAGGGGGGCTGGGCAGGCGCGAGGCGGAGCTACATGACGCAGCATTTGGTCCTGTGCGCGTGCGGCTCTTTGAAGCGCAGCCTCTGCTTGGGCCGGTACTTCTCCAGGTAGGTGAGCTGCTTGCTGTTGATGGCCCCCCGCCGCTTCCTGGGAGACGGACAGGGTGGGGATCAGGTGAGACCCAGCCTGGCCATCTGCCCTGCCTCGGGGAGTGCGGGCCCAGGCGTCCAGGCCACCGCCCAGATCACCCTCCCCGTCACCTGCTGCCACCCCACTGCCTTCAACTCGCCTGGCTGTCACCTCCGCCCAGCCGACCCCCCGACCTCACTACCTCCATGGTCCCCACACTCCCAAGGCCCCCGTCTACCCAGGTAGCAGCCCACCTCCGGCCATGGGCCCCTGAGGACCAAGGGGTGGATGTGGACAGATCTCCGATCTGCCATCGGGCGGGCGGGAGGGACCCCAAGTGGCGGGGTGTGGCCCCCATCCCTATGCCCAGGACCGCGAACGGGGCCGCGGAATGGCTCTGGCCAATGACACGTGAGTGGAAGAGACATGCATGAGCCAGGCGAGACTCCACCATGCTTTCCCTGTGACCCAGCAACTGGCAACCAGACGGGTCCGATGAGCAGGGACACCTGTGCGGCTCCCAGTGGCCGGGAGGAGCCGGCTCATTACTGCAGCACGGCCCAGCCTGTCCTGACTCACAGGGGGCTGAGGGACCACAGCCCAGAGGTGGGAGCAGCCCGGCCCTCCCCTCCCTCTCCCCTCACCCTACTCCTACCCCAGGAGGAGGGGGAGGGGACGTGGCCCTGGGCCCTCGCCGCCAGTTGGGGGCACTGGAACCACAATATGAGGCTGCATGGGACTGGGGAGCCCCTTAAACCTGGACTCCTGAGCTGTCACCAACCACCCCACCCAGCAGCCGCCACTCACTGTCGGATGAACTGGATGGCATCTTCATACTTCATCCCGCTCTCAATGAGCGCCAGTGCCACGAGGACCGGGGCCCTGGGGACAGACACAGGCGGGTCACTCAGGCCTCTGCTCCCCCCACCCCACCCCCCCACAGGCCGCCTGCTGCAGACGCATGGCCCACGGCTGCCCTCCGCTGACGGCTGCCGGGCTCGAGGCTCAGGGCGACCACCTGGGCCCAAACCCTATTTTGTCCCAGCCCTGCTGTGTGCCCTTGGGTGGGCCAGGCAACCTCTCTGTGCTGGGCTGAGGACAAGAGCTTGATACTCAGCTATCAACCCTCTGCAAAGCTGGGTTGTCTTAGTCAAACGCAGATGCTTTGTGTCTGCGGAGGGGCGAGCCTGGCAGCTCGGGGGCGCAGGGACGAAGCTGCCGCCACAGAAGGAGGGAGTGGGGTCAGACTTCAGGAGGGACTTCCTGCCTGCCAGCCAGGAGGCCCAGTCTGGGAACCCTCTGGAAAGGTCATCTGTGATGTGGGCTCGGCACCCACATCCGAGAGCGGTCAGACCACGAGGTCCCCATGTCCACGCGAGCCCCCTCCTGGCCCGCTCACCGTCCCAGGCCGGCCACGCAGTGCACGGCCACGCAGCTGCCGGGGTCGTCGCAGAACTTGGCCTTCAGCAGGCTCAGCCAGTCCTCCACCACCTTGCCGGGCGGGGGGGCCCCATCGTCAAAGGGCCAGTCCTGCAGAGAGAGGAGCCTGAGGACCCTGCCCAGGGGGGGCCCGGGGCCCAGCCAGCCTGTC